GAGATAATTAATGGGGGTGGTCAAAGCCCAAGAGACAGTAGTAAAAGTTCTGTCCTCATAAATGAAACATCCCCAAACATTCCTCTCATTTTAAAGTTTAAATGTCAGTTTGTACCCTCTATAATATATAAGAGCTGTGCAGTGTATCAGTGGCTGAGTTGTGACAGTGTGTGGACACATCAGTGCAGCTGGCTCAGGCTGCAGGCAGGAGGAGCTAACACTCATCGACGACAAACTTCCAACCAAACAGTCCGGCAAATATGGCCAACCAGGCGGACTTGAAGACCCTCAGCACCTGGTAAGCCACACGACTTTACAGGCTACGAAATGGGGACCCGATGAAGACTGAAGTCAGGGTGAAGTCCAGTGTTTTAACCCTGTGGATAGTAACGTTACCAACGTTAGCCTGGCGGAGGCTGAAGCTAGCAAGCTCAAGTTGCTAGCTGATGTTAGCATGATGGCTAACCGGTGTTTCCAGCTCCAGTGTATGAGCTGACAGACAGACAGACTGACAGACAGCACTCTTACTCTCCAGTGCCTCGACCATAAGGCCTTTAACTCTAAAGTGACTAAATATATTTGCGGTTTAACGTTTTGTTCACTTTTTTGCAGCCGGTTCTTCACTGACTCTTAATGTCTCTCTGCCTTCGTGGCTCTCTGTGGACACAGGCAGCTCTGTCTCTGTGTGTGTGTGTGTGTGTGTGTGTGTGAGAGCTGTAGTGTTAAAGTACAGCAGCTATCTAACACGTTTCTGTAGCTCTATGCACTCATTAACTCATGCCAGTTTGTGTTATTTTAAGTCAAGTACAGTAGGGAAAGGCTCTTTAATCCATCAGTCTGTGTGCATCTGTTGCATCTTCTTTTACTGTTGGTGGTAAACCAGGTGTTTCTGTGGACTCTGATGGGCTTTGTTAGGATTCACACATACTGAAACATTTACACTAGAGTGGTGCTCTTTCATGAGCAGATGGGTTTAGCTCAGACTGACATCTGTTTAGAAAACAATACATGTAAATGTCATAAATAGAGAGAGAGACATCTCTGTTGAAGCTGTATACACGTGCTAAATAACACTGATCTGTCTAGACAAAAAGTAGCATTCACAGGTATGAAGGTGAAAGCTGCAAATGTTGGGAAGTTCTGTTTGACAAACTTGATTAATGGATAATACAAATTAATGTAAGATCTGGAAGCTGGTGCTGCCCCTGTTGTGACTTTAAAGGACACAGCGAGCATGGAACTTAATGGAGAGTAAAACGAAGAAGATTAAACCCATCCAGGGGATTTGGGCTTATATTGTGCACTGACATCCAATCACACTAAATAAAGCCTTCAGCCCACCATTAAAACTGCTTTCAGAGCTCTTTGTTCAATATTCAATGTGCTCACCACCAACACTAATCAGTAATTACTGGCTGGGCCTTATTCTTTCTTCATCCCACTTTCATTAAAACGGAGAAGTGCTACACTTTCTTACAGGTTTGGTTTACATTCCCAACCGGTTCTTCCTGATTTACCTCATTTTTATTGGTTTTAATGAATCCTGGCTCTCTTTCTTTGCTCTGCTGCAAGAGGTAGAAACTTGAGATGGTGTAATGGAGAGAAAAGGAGGAGACTTGGTGAGATAGGGATCAGTTATTCATGTGGGACAGAGGGCTGAAGGGACGTGGAGTTTATTATGAGATGCGTGCGAAGGAGAACAACATGATGGTTGCAGCGTGTTCAGGGGAGAAGAGGCGAAGAAAGGGTGAATAATGACCTTCTTTCTGCAGCGTGGCTGTGTTTGGGTCTGTGCTGTAGAAGGATGGGAAATAGGAGCCATGTATGCAGTGGTGACAATAAGGGCATTATATGTTGGCCAAGAGTTAGCCAATTAAGTGTGTGTGTGTGTGTTAAAGAGCATGTTAGTCAAGGAGTGTGAGCAGCTGAAGAGGCAGACGGCAAAAGTAATGCTTTGCAGCTGTATGTGATGTAAGATTATGTGGTTTGAATCAGACGGAGCATTGTTTCCTTAGGTTGAAATTGCAGAGACAAACATTATGTTGACGTTGTTGTGACATTTATGTTGGGTTGCTAAATGGTGATTTGTCTGTTTATTACACAAGTGCTCTGTACTTCAGTCCCACCTCTATTTCTTCAGCTACACCACAGATGTGTAAGTGGCCCGTCCGCAGCTCCACATCGCATTCATTGTGAAGCTGCCGTTGTTATCGCGCTAACTTCATGCAGTATCGTGCTACGATCACACACTTCAATCTCAAACCATTTGTAATTGCTTGGAAAGGGGTTTACTTTTGCAGGAAATTTCATTCCAAACTGCAGGACTGAAGGACCTTTAGGACTGCGTGTGCAAGAAAAAGATGCAGTGCTCTTAAATGTTGTTGGTTTTAGTTTTACTGTTATTAGAGGGAGGTAATACCACTGCCAGAGATAATAATGTCATTACTATACAGTGAATAAACCACTTTATATGAGGGAGCTCAACCTACGACTAAAGCTTATTTACTGTACCTGTCGGTTACCCTTGACAACAGAAAGGTCGATGGTCACCTCGGCACTTGTTGTCACAAAACAAGCACAGCTCCTGTATTGCAGTGGGCTGGGTGTCAGTTGGCATGTCATAATAACAGTCCTGCACCTGCCTGTGAAACCTACAGTGTGAGGTTGTTACTCAACTGGAAGTAGAGAATGACCATAACTGTGGTTTTACACTGAATTAATTCTGGTTCTCGCTGACATGTTCTTTAGACAAATTTTGCATTCGCAAATTATTTCCAAGTAATCCTCCCAGAAAATGTAGAAAGCACATCTCATCTTAACTTTAACATTTTCACCCACTGATCTTTAAGCACGTCGATGTATCAGCAGAGGATCGGGGTTTCCCAGAGGGCTTTAGCAGAGGTGTGAAGTCACCCAGATCCTGACGTCACCTGATCACCTGATCAATGAAGTTACTAGACAACGGCCTAAACAACAGTCACACTCATTAAACAAACATTTTGCTGTGTGAAATTGTGCCACTGCACTTTCCCTAAAACAAAAAGATTAATGTGTTATGTAACTTCTATAGAACTGAATTCATTATATTAGTGGGGGTGGTCTATATTTCAGGTGAGGTGGCTGCTAAATTAAGGACGACGTGTTGTGCTGGGGACAATCAAAATAGCACTTGGGGCACAAAGATTCTGGGACAGTAGAGAAATGTGTCATTACAAATGAAATGATTATGGTTATGGAATATATCTCACTTTAATTGTAAGGAAATACAGCGAGGTGCCACCGACACCGGGGTTGTCCACTTTGAAACTTTCCCACTAGATTTATAAATTTTTCAGCCCTTCAAAGCGACTTTATTTCTAAAATGCAACTAATCTAGTGACGTATTCAGACCATCAGGGAAAAGCAGAGAAATATATTCAAATACATCAGTCAGCAGTTGGCAGGTCTATGTTTGAGCTTCTCTCTCACTCTCTGGATTTGGGCGCTTCTTTAGTTTATATGTAAATAATTAGTTTGAGCTTTAAATATTTCAATAGTTGGTTTGATCTTCTCCCTCCTGTTAAACTTAAAAATAAAAGTTAGTTTAGTTAATAGTTTTATTCACATAAGTGCAGGGAACAACTAGCAGAACATCCATGGTGGACTATATTAACTATATTTATTATGCAGAATGGAAAAAAAGAACCTCCATCTGGGACACAGTGATTATGTCTGGAACTGTCAAAAGTAGAATTTGGGACAGTTAAAAAAAATAAAATAAAATTTCAGGCCACTCAAACACACACAGAAAGGGAAACTCTGAATCAAGTGAAAACATGAAAATCACTAAAAGAAACTAGAGTTGGAGTTTCCCCCACACGGCACTAGTGATATGAAGTTTCAGTCTGCAAACAAGAACTCTTCGGGGCTCAGGAGGACAAAATAATTTGACATCAGAGCAGAGCGAGGTTAATTACAGGCTTGTCGTCCTGAGGAAGTAGGACGTGCCAGCTACCTACTCAGTATGCATAATGGAGGTTTTCCCTGAACAGCACAACAAAGCTCTGTTGTAAACAAAGAACAATAGGAACAGCCTGTTGTGTTGTTCCTCCCCTGTGTTCATTCTTTCATCCTCCCCAGCTATTGTTTCCAATGTTTTTATTCAAACTCTCTGAAGATTTTTGATGAAGTTAACAATACAAAGCAATTACAAATAATGACTTGATTCTTGTCAGCTGAAAACAATTACAGCAATTCCTCTTTTTGTCCGTTTTGTTACACCACATCCTCAATCATGCCTCTGTTCTGCTGTGCCTGTCTGTGCCCAATCCCAGGCTACAGTGACCATCAACCCCAGTCCAAGCCTGACCGTGACGATGAAGACGATACTCCCATGACCTCCTTTGGCGTTGCCGTCCGAGGCCTCCCTCTGGCCTTGGCGTCCATGACACAAGCTACCGCCTCCGACTCGCGCTTCCACCCTAAATGGCGGGCGATCACCGTGGCGACCCTGCTGGCTTTAGTGCTTCTGCTGTACTTGCACCGGACAGTAGGGAACAGAGACACGGCCACCAGAGGTTACCATCGCAACAGGGGTCACAGTTTGCGAGTGCACAGTGAGGGTGAGGATGACATCTTCAGTGACGCGAACAGACAGACTGCACGGAGCCTCTCCCGCCACCAGAAGAGGGAGAAACCTTACAATGACACGTACCCTTTAAGCCCGCCAGAGAAGACGAAGCACGGCATGCGCTACCGTATCGGTGTGATCGCAGACCTGGACACAGCGTCACGCAGCTCCAAGGATCAGACGTGGTTCAGCTACATGAAGAGAGGTCACCTGATGGTTTCATATAGCGCTGACAGGCTGGAGGTGGAGTGGGAAGCTGAGACGGTCACTCTGGAGAGTCATCTGGCTGAGAAAGGACGAGGTAGAGGGATACGCGCACACACACACACACACACACACTGATCTGTTCTTCTTTGAATTTATCCATCAGTATGTGGGTTACCTCAACGTTTGACTAACTGTGCTGCAGGTATGGAGCTGTCAGAGCTGGTGGTGTTCAATGGTCACCTGTACAGCGTGGATGACCGGACAGGTGTGGTGTACCGGATCGAGGGCAACCAGGCTGTCCCGTGGGTTATACTGCCTGACGGTGACGGCTCGGTCTCCAAAGGTCAGTCTCCAATAAATGTTTTACTTTCAACACACGCAAGTCCTCAGAAACAGAATTGGCGGCACAAAAACAACAGCGACTCAGCAACTTTGGAAAGGCTGGCGGCCGTTTTAAGGAGTTCACGTGCCTTCTCACAAATCAGTCCTTGTTTTGTGTGAAGGATTCAAGGCGGAGTGGCTGACTGTGAAGGATGAGCACCTGTATGTTGGTGGTCTGGGGAAGGAGTGGACCACCACCTCCGGGGAAGTCGTCAACAACAACCCAGAGTGGGTTAAAGTTGTTGGCTACCACGGTGACGTGGAGCATGAGAACTGGGTGCCATACTACAACGCCCTGCGGAGCGCCACAGGGATCCAACCACCAGGTTATGACCAATTTTTTGTGTTTCTTCATTTGAATTGTATCCTGTCGTAGTTACTGTTTGAGATGTCAGGCTCTTTAATCCAAAAATAAACAAATAAAACCCAGAAGCGAAGACAGATTTTTTCAGTTCTTAGGAATGTGTGCAGCTCTTCCTCTAAGGCTGCCCACCAAAAGGAGGGTAGAGCAGGTTTGCATATAGCCTGAGAGGCAAAACCCAGGGCACAACAAGCTGGCTCTTGTGAAGCTTTTGCTGTGGGTGCAACATTTTATGAACTCAGAGTGTCTGTCCTCTTGATTTTGGCTAAGATTTTAGTAAGTCACCCAAACTGATCTTTTACAGCAGGGGAAACTCACATTAATACAGTCTCCATATTTGTATTCATTTTGTTACAACTCTCCTTGTTCTACAGGCTACCTTATCCATGAATCAGCAGCATGGAGCGAGCGTCTCCAGCGCTGGTTCTTCCTCCCTCGCCGTGCCAGTCACGAGCACTACGAAGAGACTGCGGACGAGCGGCGTGCCACAAACCTCCTCCTGTCCTGCCCCGCAGATTTCAGCTACGTAACAGTACGGCACGTCGGACCGCTCAACCCAACTCACGGCTTCTCCTCCTTTAAATTTGTTCCGGACACAGACGATCAGATCATTTTGGCCCTGAAATCGGAGGAGGATGCGGGCAGGATCGCCACCTACATGATTGCATTTACGCTAGACGGTCGGGTGCTGATGCCCGAGACAAAGATAGGGGATGTGAAGTATGAAGGGCTGGAGTTTATATGATGAGGACAGGGCTGAATCTGCAGGGGTCGAATATAGTTTAGTTTATTAAGAAGTGGTCTTCATACATGCAACACTGTCGTTTTGAGTCCTACATTCCCCTCTCACTTCTACTGTGCAATAATGTCATTTGACTCGAAGTTATATATTTCCTAATTATTTAGTATGATAATTTAAAGGCGGTAGAGATGGTAAAAAGGGAAGGAGAATGCCACACCACCACTAGGGGAGTGTCACCAACAATATCTATTCTCTGTTTGTGTGTGATTGGTTTGAGCTGCCAGTCTGTGACTCCTACACACACCAGTCACACAGAAATTGTCACTAGTCAGTCACCACCTGATAAGTTTCTTAAATGTATTTTTTAAGTCTTAACTACTTCATATTGGTGCTGCTGAGTTAAAAATCATGGTTTGGTCAGAAACTACTGATATTTCAGATTAGTCTGGGTAAAACACTTTTCAAATTTGTAGCCATCAGTCTATCAAACACCAGGTAATGTGGATCTCCTCTCCTGCAGCCAAACTCTGCTGGTCAGACACTCAGGGGAACAAGGTGAAACAGGATACAATAAAATAAAACATAGAAATGAATGTGCTTAAATTACTTGAAATATTAAACTTACTCATTGCTTTGTGTTTCATCTTACCTGTTTAGACACACTGAAGATTTATAATGATGTAATGAGTCCAGTCACTTCATGCATATCAACTTCTGATACACCTCAAATGTTGCCTCACATGTGTTAATAAACTTTAAAAACATTTCCTTCTCAAGCCAGAGAACCAGTGAAACACCAGCTATTTTATTTAAAGATTAACCATTCATATATTCCTTTTGTATCCTCTCAAAACACAAATAATTAAAATATCTACTCTTGTTTGAATGTGTTATATGTATTTCTTTTAATGTGTCTGTGTGTAATGCATATGTTGTACACATATTTTCCAATCTTCATGTCTACAAAATCAGTAGTATTCTGTTACACTTGATCATTATATTAGTACTTTGTTACATTAAGCCTTTCCTTGACTAATGTCATGTAGGAGGACAAATGGTGATGGTTACTAAATTACACAAATAATGATATTGATTAAAAATTACAATGGAGTTCAGTTTAACAAGCTGCAAAGTTAGCAATTAATCACACGACATCTGTATCACAGTATCAGTATCTCAAAACATTTCAAACCTGAGGAAAATCCCTGTAATTGATCTTGTTCACAGGCTTGTTCCCATGGCGACGATGTCTTTAGGTAGACCGGCCATTTTTATGGGTTTGAAGGAGCCCAGTTTGGTGTAAAAGTCGAGCATTCTCCGGTCGCTCTGCCTCAACTCACAGAACACTCCTCTGGAACCTGGAAAGTTACGGACAAGGAAATCAAGATGGTGTTTGAGATTTAATGTTTGTTCTCTAAATTTAAAATGAAACTGATCAAACTGCATCAGTGATGCAGTGATGTATTCTCATTGCACAGCTGCATGTCCACAACTATACATGAGCCATCTGCAAGTTATAGTGATATTTCCTGCTGAATACTGTTAAAGACGACAGGTCACGGTGCTGTGTGACTGACTGAACAACTCCTCCTTGTGAACAACATGCAGCCTGTTCAACCTCAGTTTGCGAATTAGTCGCAGGCCAGTTCCATCCAAGAATGATCACAGGCATTGTGCAAGGTCTCGACCTACCACTGCTCCTGATGGAGGACAACAGCCGACCAATCATACGCTTTGCTGGAGACGGATCGGTGACCCGGGGCAGCACTTGTACAGTAACCAGGGAGGGGAAGTCCTTGAACACTGAATCACTTACTGCCCTCTAAAGGAGTAAGATAGAATAAAATAATTATAGTAATATTGCATTTCATCTTTATATTGTATTGTGCAGACGATTACACATTGCATTTCACCTGAATCTTGGCTGCGGCTGGTCTGGCGTCGGTCAGTGCCAGTGCGTAACCACACACCCCAATCTCATCCTCCAGGACGAGAGCACACTGGGGAGAGGGGGGGATTTCTCCTTCTGACAGGCTGCAGTGGGGCAGAGGACATTTTACAATTGAGGTGTGAGAGCAGAAATAGAATGAAGAAATAGAGAAATGTGACTCTTACTTACCTATCACAGATGAGTGGAGGCTGTGTCAGCAAGAGGCCTTTGCCCCCTCCTTCACCCTGCATCTCCCTGAAAATCATTTGCACCTCCGTCTAGGACAAAGATTTGTAACATCACTACTCAATGGGAACTTAAATGTAACACACTGTGTGAGGATCTGCCATCCTTACCTTGTCTTCGGGGCAGTAGGGCCGCATGCAGTAAACCTCCGTCATAGGAGGATGTCTGAACAGGTCTCTGTTTCCATGGCAAGGCAGCATCCTCTGCAAGTACAGAAATACAGTGTATTCATGTTCATGTAGAAACACACAGAACAATTATTGATGAAATAACACTGAAAAGAAGATATTTACTAGATTCCTTGTCCAATAAACAAAACCTATCACTGTACACTTAGTGGGGAAAATGGCAGATTCAAAATGACCCATTAGAAAGAATATACGGTTTGAATATGTCCCTTTCTTTAGGCACTTAAGTTACCTGGAACTCTCCAGAGAGGCCTCCTCTGAAGCCCCAGGGTTCAGGATCATCGTTCATTATCTGGGCTGAGGGCTGACCCCGCCCTCCTGTAGAAAGCACACACACAACATAACATCTGTAGGTTAACTTTTAGAGATTTTTATAAAGTCAAGAAACACAACACGGTTATGTTGGTGTATTCTTCTGCATCATGACATGTAGTCGAACTAGAAACAAATTTTGTGTTCTAAAACACGCGTGGTGAGATCGGTGTCTTTCTGGATCAAGTTGGACAGGATGACATGAAGTCCTTTGTGTCTTCAGCCTTAATCACTCATTAAAAGTCATCTATGTAGCTAGTTTAAGAGAAAAACTCATATAATTCCCAAACACATCCTTTACACACCAGCCTGTGTAGTCTCATCATCATTAGAAGACTCTGTTGTTCTCACCCAGTGTTTTCACGTAGGCTCGAGCCAGACCGACCCCACTCTTGATGTCACAGATGTAGTTGTAGAGGTCGTAGAGGATTCTGCGGTTAGGGGCGTTTGACAGACGATTGAACATTTGCACCACCGCCTCGCACATGCCATCAAACTGCTGCGCTCTTGAGCACCACTCTGCTGTCTGAAAAACAATGTTTAAGCATTAGAGTCACATTAGTCACAAGATAATCCGCTTTTTGAACACATACTGTATAAACACACAGCAATACCTTGTCTGTCTCTGCAGCAGCGGCCCGACTGTTGTTCTTCAGCCAGTCCAGCTCCTGCAGCATAGTCCTGGCTGTCGGCCCGTGTTCGTACGGCAGGTAGAAAAGGTCTGACAGCAGCTTCAGGTCATCCAGGGTCAGAGGCTCCGCTGTGTACAGCGGGTTCTCCCCAGGTCCAGGAACATAGGAGCTCTCTCCCATGTCGGTCTGCATGGGCTCCTCATCTGATGACTCTTTCTTGAGACGAGCTGGAGGACGACAAGGGCCAGGGCGGATGAGCAGGGTGATGACACCACGCCATGTCTGTCTTTTGATTATCATGAAACTTCTCTTTAATATAAAAGTGTTATTTCATGACTCTCTACCTCCAGGCTGATCGGTGCTCAGAAACTCCTGCAGCCAGTCAGTGAGGGCCAGGGTCAGGGCCTTCTGCGGGCTGTAGCACGGATCCTGCTCCTCGTCGCCTGGTGATGGAGGTCAGAGACAGTGAGACACTGCACCAAGTCGACATTTCCAAAGATATCACATTTCAGGCTCCATTTGATGTAAACTGGTAACCATAAAAATGCTCTCTTGAGTTGGAATACTGCCCTGAATATTAATGTGCTATACCTGCTTCTTCCTCACAATCATTACAAATAGTAGATAAATTGCTGTATTGGAAAAGTAGAGTCAAATACGATATTCTGCGTACATGCCAAAGCCGCGTTGTGTGCACAGTTGTGTTTTTTAAAGAAAAACTAGACGCTCACCCATTTCCACATCCCTCTGTCCTTCATCAGTGGTTGCTTTGCACCATGTAGCCAACGTGTGGATGGCCACAAAGTTTGGGTAGAACTCACAGTTGGGGTTGGTGAGCACTCCTCTCAGTTTGGGAATCAGCTCAGTGGGACGATCCTAAAGGGAACAGACAATGTTCATTATTTCACCGGAAGCATATACAGACATCTATAAACATCTAGAATGATCTTTTTACCTTAAAGGGTCCGAGGAAGAGCCTTTGGGGGTCATAGTCATTTGCGTGGATATTGTCCCAGATGACCGGTGGCCTCTTCAGGACAGAGGACACCTCTTCTATAGACTCCACAGAGATTTTGTGGGATACCACTTTGGGACCTAAATAACACAAATTAGAGAGAAACTGTGTTATAAAACTGTATCTTTGGATTATCTCTGTGGAGTTAAACACATTAGCACAGGTTCAGTGAGATTCCCGCACATTGCAGCCTTACCAGTCCACAGTATGTCTACCCCAGGCAGCAGCTTCTCTCCCACAGTGTGCAGGTAAGCGGACTGGGACACATTGGGAGTGCAGAACGCAGCACAATAATCTGGATTAACAGGGACAGAGCAAGTGTGAATGATGGAAAACCTTGAAGAAAGAAGACAAACTGAGCTGATTATGTAAATTAGAGGTATCGCACAGGCTGTGTTCAGTGGTACTAAATAATAACCAGTTCGCAGAAACAACGGCATTATGCTAGTTCCATTTCAGTCAGACAGTTTTGAGAGACCCCACTGCCCGACCTGTAGGACAGAAGAGGAAGGTCTCAGGTTCACCCAGGTGCTGGTACACTGCATTAGTGATGGCCACCTGAGCGTGGGCAAAGGAGCTGAAGGCCTGTTTATCAGCTGGACACATCTCAGTCTCGATGTCATCAAACAGTAAAGAGAAGGACCTGCAGCCAAAATCCTTCACCTGAGGGAGGGAGAGGACAGCTTGAAGTTTGGAGATGCCTGCCTATCAAATGCTTCTATTTTCCTGCTGCATGTTTGATATAAAGTAACGTGGTGTCCACAACAAACCCCCAGAGAGCCATAAAGCTCCATACAGCTGAGATTAAATTATCTCTCGTGCTCCACCCTTCACCTCTGCATACAAAGTCCTACCTGATCCAGCTTCCTCTTCAGGGCAGCGACCTCTTTGGGGTTGGAAAAAGTAACGTCCAGGCCGGGAGAGATGGCATAGATGAACTCGACGTCATGCTGTTTAGCTGCGGATATCAGGGCGATGAGTTGTTCTGGGAAAAGAATACAAGATGAGAAAAGAAATCTTATTGAAAAAGACACTGTTGTCCCAGTTAGAGAAATATCCTCAATAAATGCTGTTGAATTAGAGGTAAATGATCATTAGGCCTTTAATTTATGCAAATCTAAAAATATATTAGTAAGTCCACTGATCTGCCTGTTTTGACCTGTACTTGGATACATCAGACAGAATCATCACTGCCCTTCAGTATGTAACATTACTGATAAGATGCATCCAACTAACGAAGGAGAGGCTCCAAACAGAGCAATTAAACATTGTCTCTAAGGAGATAATGATGACTCTGAATGGGACTTTGGTCATTTTTATACTGTAGTAATCATCTTCTTTCATTTTGTATCTGTCATTTCACATTCCTCCGATTTCTTCTCCCTCTTGGTTCAGTGTGTGAACACAACTTTGCACAGTTCTGAATGAGGATCCTGATGTATGGCATGGTTTAAAAACAACTCATTATTCAGTCTGGGGCCAAAGTCCAGTTTCAAGAGATTAATGATTTTATTTGATGAACGAGGAGTGGAACTCACCTGCCTCCTGAGGAGAGTACAGGTCCCTCCAGTACATCCTGTGTTTGTAGTCATCCTTGGGGGCGTACAGATATGTGTTCAAACCCCACTTCTGTTCTCTGTGGAACACCAGCAATGGCCAATCACGTATTATGTCAGCTGGTACATTATGAGTACAGTAGATCAATCTGTATTCTTAAAGGGTCTTAAAAAAGTGACAATGATCACAGAAAATATTACATAGACAACAGATACATTCATGTTTGCTAAATATTGTTTGTCCAGTGTTGTTGACCTTATTCCCAGGACAACAGATAATAAACACCACTATGGGACAACACCCACTATGAAGCAAATGCCACCTTTAGGATGGGCTCTGGTTTTATCTGACCTCTTTAAAAAATGTATTGAAACTCCATTTACAGGTAACTTCCTGCTCTTCTTCATAGTGGGAGTTGTAAACTCTCTTAGAGGCCACACACCTTTTAAACAGCTCTGTTCTCTGCTCCATAGTCCACGGCCGCCCATAAAAACCTGCATCAAGCGAAGGTCAAGTTATGCACCAAATGAAATCACCACCTCACCAGAAGTGATCAATACATGATCAATACCCTGCCTGCATTGCTACAAAATACACCGCCTGCATTGCTACAAAATACACCTTATGTAAATCCAGGCAGCTTGCATCCTAATGTGGGTATTCACTTATTGATTGAGCTGAGCTGTGTGAACACTGGGACCACTGGGACCAGTATACTCACCCTCCACTACTCCACTGATGAAGCGCCTCGTCCCAGTCTGGGTTTGGCCCCTGGCACTGGCCGGTTCCGACATGGTTAAATGTAGTGCTCTCTGTATCTCTCTGTCTCTCTGTCTCTGTCTCTCTCTCTGTCTCTCTGCCTTGTGTCGCTTCTTTGTTGTCTCTCTCTTGTCTCTCTCTTGTCTCTCACTGTCCTCTCTCTGTCTCTCTCTCTCTGTGTTCAGTTTACTGATACTCAGACACAAGCACTGACACAGCGCTACTGTCACTCATGGTTTTGTATGCCAGCCTTTAATTTGACTGACTTTTATTGCCCCGTCCTCTCACGCCTGCGCAGACCAGTCAGTTTTTAAGCCCTGCGCAACATGATGCTAACATGGTCTGAAGTCTAAAGTTGTAAATACTCGGAGCGAATTGGAAAAGCAGCTCTTGTTTTGTGATGACTGAAGTTCACCTCAGATTCAGACGCACGTTGATTGTACGCGTCCGACTACCGGGTGAACGTCTTAAAGGGCCAGTGTCACCTACAGTGGCTTAAAGGGACAGTACACCTGAAAACAGAGCAGACCTAATAACAGAAACTCTTTTTATTTATATAGTTTGAGGTACATTTTGTAGGCAAATATTGTACTTTTTACCACTACTTACTTACTTAAAAAATTGCAAAATATAAGTTAATAAATTAATTATTATATATTATTACAAGTAAGCTACTCATCAGTATATAAATAAATAAGAATTAGCCCCATCTTAACCAGCTGTAACATTAAAGTGGTGCACGCATTACATCAATAATTATAATATATTTTGCATAATGGTGCTTTTACTTTTGGTGAGTTTTGTCCCTAATACCTTTGCACTCTTACTTAAGAAAGAGTTTGAATGCAGGACTTGTACTTATAACAGACACTGTAGTATTCATACAAGATCTGAAGACAGGTTGAGGGTGTGCTTGCATAAACATATGAGTGTGGCACATATGTCACATTATTTCAAAGTATTTGTGACTGATATTTATGGCATTTAGGCAGTGACTAATGCAAAAGTAGCCAGTTGAATGGGCTACTAATTCCTTTAGCTTATTGAGGCCTGATAATCACCACCAAGTGATGAACTGTCTGCTGGTGCCTAGCTCTTTAAAATAGAGCTTCAAAATGAACAAGTTCTCCATAAAAACCTGGAAATGTTCAGCCAAAAGTTCCCTTACAGACATGTTGTAAGACATACAAAGATAATATGCTTGGAATATTAATTTGTATATTAATATTAATGATGGCTCTGTTTCATTTAGGTGTGCTAGAGAGCCATGACAATGAGCCAGTGGGGATACAATAGGGCTTTGGTAGTGGAACAATTAATTGGAATACATTTAGAATTAATGTTATTACACCTGTTTGACAATTCATTATGTCTGCCATGAGAATGGTCTATAGAAGGGCAGAGAACAACCTTACAAAGTCATGAGGCAGAAAAATATGTTGGATATGTCCAAGTTAAAGCCACATTTTATGTCACTGCTTTGATATTTAATAGGACAAGCTTCTCCAAGCTTCCAAATGAGCATAACGTGGTAAGCATTAATGAAGTTGCTGACTCTGTGAAGGATGGGAATAAGGCCCTGAGGATCTGAAGACAGCAAATGAAAATCACTTGTAAGATCAGAGGCATGCACAGCAAAAAATGTCTGGATTCTGAGTCAACTACAGGAGCCTGTAGAAGAAACTGAGAAAGAGCTGAAACATGATTCTGGGTCATTGTGAAGATTTACAAAAACAAAGAGAGAAATGACTGATTTACTGGCTAGTATGTCAGAATTGTTCAGAGCCAGTGGACAGTTTTACTTGTAACTAATAACATTAATAATGAAAGCGCTGCAAGGTACCGTGTATGCTGTGTCACTCGTATGGATTTAATAAACCACATAAACTCAGGTCGACACATCATCAGGAGACACAATAAAGAGCCTTTATTTTTTTTTATATACAAATATATAAAACATTATCAGTGTTATGGAATGCAACAAAAATGTTTAGTGGGCTCCACTAATAACATGTTATCAAATTAACAGTGCTACATATTTGACATGTTAACTGTACACATCATAAACTGCATGCATATTCAAAACATGCAAAAACGACTAACATACAAACGTTTGCTACATAAGTGTGAGCACAAGGCCCTGAGGTTCTTTTTATCTCTGCCACATCCAGCTTGGTGTACTCGTCCTTCCACACAGCTCCGCTACCTCTTTAATCCGCTCTGGGCCTGTTTCAGCAGCGAATCAAAGTCGAGGTCCTCAAACCTGCTCTTGGCAGGAGACGGCTCTGCATCTCTGTTTGCGTCTGAGGAAAAGGGGGGACATTTATAGTTGTGTTCAGTGACTTCCACAATAAAAGGAACAGGGGCATAAATCATTGATACAGCACTGAATGATACCTATCATACAGTCTCACTGCAGTAAACACTTTGAGAAGCACACAATGTCCAGATAAGGAAAAGGGTATTGTTTTAAGCTTTCAGTTTGACTTGAAATTTAACATCAGGGACAGGTCGAAGTGTCAGGAAACAGCTGCTGGTAAGCCGATTACCCAGATGCATCACATAGGCTGATGATGATTTAGAACAAGTCAACAACCTGCTCCTGATGACGCTATGAAAGGCGCTTTTTGTTTTGTTTAATAACAGTTTACCGTGGCACGTTTTTTCATACCCCCTTTTTATCTGCACATAAAACCCCCTGCAATGGTTTAATGGCACCCAACTGCACCACCAACTGTTTAACGTGGTGTGCTAAACTTCTAATATTGACTTAACAACAGTAGATGTAAAGGAGCACTGATTCACATTTTCTTCTGCCATTTTTCTCAAAACCTTTTTAAAATATGCATTTAAATGCAAACCTGGCTAACGATTCTACCAGGAATACTTCATTTAGGTTTTTATGGTGCAGCTTGCAAAACTAACAGTGACAGGGCTGTGACAGTGTATGTCAAGAGAAAAACTATAAATTGTTTAACTTAAACTCCAGCCGTCACTATAGCGACCTACTTGACTTTGTGGTTTTGAGGCTCACCTAGGTCAGCATAGTCTGAATTACAGAACTGTCTTCTTCCACCAAAGCAGAGGTCAAACGGCAGCTCGTTAGGTCTCCGTAGTTTGCTGCCATTATCAATGGCCGCAAAAGCATCATCCATGTTGTAGAATGTGACAAAGCCGTAGTGGTCACTATGGAAACCAAAGGCGCAGGATTTTAATACTGATAAATACAGATTAATGGTACAAAAACACTAATGACAAAAACATTTTAACGCCTTATTTTAATCATTTTCAGTGTGCATACGTACCCTCTTTCTCTAAAGTGAAGAGACACACATTCTACTTCTCCGAACTGAGAAAAGCGTTCCCTCAGTTCGCTGTGTGTCATAGACCTGCAGATGCGTCCGACATACACCACCCTGCGCTCGTCCTGTATGAGGGATTTTAGAATTACTCACCACTCATTACTCAAACACTCATTACACAGCTGACATGTCAGTAATGCTTTACTCACTATGGCTTTAAGTTTCTGAATCCTGATCTCGTGCTCTCTCCTGAGCCTCCTAGACTCTCTGCTGCTGTAGGGATGAAGAGTTGGGATGAGAGGAAGACTGAGATTACACACACAGTGAAGCCAGAGAGAGATACAAGGAAAAACAGACATTTAAAAAAACTAAACAAACGTACACCTATATTTTATTTGCTGACAAACTCCAACATTAACTGACCTGCAAACATCTCCCCACTGCGTACGGCAAATCCGTGGGGATGGTGTTCGGGATCTGGATGGGGACCTTGAACGGGACCAAGATCTGGATCTCGACCTGCTGCATCTTGATCTAGAGTAAGACCACCTGTAGCGCCGCCGAGGTGGAGAGCGGGAAATGGAGCGAGAGCAGGACGATGAACATGAACTGCTCTCTGAGCGCTTGTGATGGCGCCTGCAAGACGGACAAATTGAAAGTTATGCACAGAAAGGACAATCGAAGACTAAAACTGGACGAGTTATAGAAGATGATTACTTTTGTCTTTTTGGAGATCGAGATGCAGAGCTGGAGGATGAGGAGGAGAAGGACGACGACGAGGAACAGGAGCTGGAGCTGGAATCAGAACGAGGAGATCCTCTCCGATACCTCCTTTTGTTCCTCCCCCTGACAGGAGGGCTGGGTGGAGGTGTAGGGAGGGTGCACGGGGCCCTCTTGTCTTCAGCGGCACGAACACAGTCTTGCTTTGTGGCAGCGCTGTCCGAAAGCGACAGAACTTTGTCTGCTGACTCTGATCTGGTCCCGGGTTCCTCAGAGGGAGGCTGCGTCACAGACTTTGCAGAGTCATCCACAGCCCTGATGTTGGGGTCAACGTCACTGATGGAGGTCTGTTTTTGGCATTCAGCAGCAGTACTTGAGTTGTGGGTGCTAACCTGCAATTTATCAGTGGTTTTAGTGATATCCTTGAGTTTAGAGGTTCTGCTCCACTGAGTAGCACTTGTAAGTGAACGGTCTACAGGTTTGCAGTAGTCGTGATCGGAGGATATAGATGAATACAGGTGAGGAGAGGTGTGAGCAGCAGGGAACTCTGAAAGGTTACTGTGCGTCTTCTTGGACGGTAAAGGACGGGGGTCAATTATCTGAATGGCCTTGGATGGAGGATTTTTGCGTCTTGCTGGCAGATCTTGTTGTGTGCTAAGGATGATTTCAGTGCCGAGGGGCTCTGGTATGTCCACATCCTCTGACGTCTGAAGAGGCAGTATATTCCTGAGGGTTTTCAGAGTCCCAGGCGATTCTGAAGTGCTTAAAGGCTTAAGTGTTTCCACAGGGGGCGTCAGTGGTAATGTGGAGGCTCGCTCTGTTCCTACAGGCTCAGTTCTGTTCAGGCCTCCTTCTGTTTGTAGGTTTGAAGGTGAAGTTGCATTTATAAGTTTGGGCTCCACTCTCTCTTTGGCTGGATGAGGAAGAATTAAAAAAAAAAAGAGGTTACACAAGACCAGACACAAGCGTCGAACAATAGTGTTATTAGTAATGTGATCACACACCTTGTGTTTCCTCAAACTGTTCCAGCAGGCTGGTCAGATCTGGCGCTTCAATTCCTGAAGTAGAAGAACAA